TAATGACCAACCCTATCTAAAAAGGGCATGCTGAACATTCCTTCACAAAAGCTGCCTGTTTGCTATATATACTATGTCCAAGTCCTAGCAAATGTCAGGAATTGAAGAAAAGCTAACTGCTCATCAGTTTCCAATAGTAAAGAAGGACAAATTTATTTACATAAAGGTGGGCCTCCAGGTTTCATTTCTGCCTATGTGCAGGAGCCACTAGCTTTCTCAGACAAGTTCCCACATCCACCAAAGAGCTAACACCCTCAGTGTTAGAGTTCCTGTCCTGGTTGTCTTGTGGATTCACTTTCAGGGATCCAGGGCCTCCCTGCTTGGACCCTATTTGATTTGCTCACTGAACTAACTTGAATGCAGTCATATCTATTTAGGATGAGCAGAGAAAATGGCTTCATTTGGAAGACTAAAGGGGACTCTGTCCACGTTTACTAAATAACCCGGCTTCTTAGATGTTTACAAAGAATGAAGGGACAGGCTTTTACTATTTCCCAAGTGGTAGTGGTTGGAAGCAGAGTTTTCCCCCTTTTTCATCAGAGAAAGGCTTTAGCCTGAGAAACGGTAAAGAAGTAAAATCCTAGTAAATAAAGAAACAGAAACCTAATACTACGAACATGTACGAGAGCAGAATATGACTTCTGTATTAAGGGGCATGATGAATGTCTCCACATTATGGGAGACGCTTTAGCACAACCTTAAAATAGTGCTTCAGAGATATGTGCGGACATAGAGGAATTTGTCTCTATACTTTCAACCTTTTCTCTTCTACAAAGACTTTTTGTAAGAATATACTTTGGGCTAGAGCTAAGGGAATGTGGAAGAAAATTTCTAGCCTTGAGTGTTGCTGCCACCTACATGGCAGGCAGACTACAAACAAAGCCTAGCACCTTTCTGGACAGTATGTGTTCTATGAACACATACTTTAAAAATACCCACATTTGTTTCTTTAATTTGGCTATCCCAGTGATAATTGAAATTATAATATTTTCTATTTTCACCTCATTTCCTGTCTCCAGTTCTTGCAGCAATTGGACCAAATGTTTTGCTTAGATTGGTGGAAATACAGTGATTATTTGACATAGAGTCTAATCCAAGAAAATCTTCCTTATCATAAAAACATTCTGAAGTGTAACTTGATCCCTATGGCTATTACTGTCTCAGGGAGGGAATAAAAGCATTTAATGTCACTGTGCTATAGGTATTTTTGTTGTTTGTTTTCCTGGAAGGCTCTAAAATACAAAGAGAAAAATTAAATTAAAGAATGTGTTCTCAGTCGATTATAACTATAAATTGATGTAAACGGAGATAATATAAATGTAAGAATTCTTTTGATATAGATAAAAGAGGTTACTTCTGATAGGAAATGTAGTTGCCACTGCAAAATTAACAGGAAATCTCTTAAAAAATCTAAAGGAAACTTGTGATATGTCAAGAACACATCATAGACTGTCCTTTGATCTGAGACGGCATCATCCGAGGCCACGGTGCAGTTACTGAGGCTGTGTGAAAACACCTGCTCCCTAGAAAACACACATGCAAGATTGAAAAGCTAATTGATGACTTTACAGATAATAACAATTAACATAATTGTTAAGTGAATAAATGATAGGCTTGTAAGCATGTGTCAACCAGTTATTGCTATTGCATAATGTTATGAATATTGGTGTTTTGCAGACATATGGCACTTCGCAGATTTAAGCACATTGTTCTACTAAATCTATACTATTAAAACCTTTGTATCTTTGAGTAAAAAAGCCCCAGAAATTATTGCTACCTTTCCAATTAGAAGTGTGTTGAAGACTGAAAGAATCCCTAAAATTGACAATAGGAAAACACTCCCCATGCAACGAAAGAAAGGCATTTGGAGAAACAATGTCAAAAGAAAGTATACCAAGAGAGGCCATTTCAAATGTTATCAATGATCAGTGGCTTTAGTTTCTACAGGGTATTAAAAAAAAACTATTTCTCACCATTTGTATCATTATAATCATGCTCATAATGATACAATGGTCAGTCTATTTACCTACAATACACTTTCTGAGATACAAGTGAGGTATTCCCAGAGTTAATAAATAGGGCCTAAGGCTAGCAGGGTCGGGGGAGGCATGGCTTGCAAAAAAGTCAGTAATCAAGATACATATATTTGAATACATTATTGAAAATCAAATTAATGCAAAAAAACCCTCATGCTGTTGAAATTTTAAATAAAGATGGGATCTGAGAAGTTTGGAACGAGGGTGAGAGGCATGAGGAGCTGTACCAGGACAGGCCTCCCCCTGCCCCTGCCCTGCCAACAAGATACCATGACCCCTGCTGTCTTCCGGGGTCACAGGCTGGACGGGAGTTGCCAGTGACATGCTCTTACTGGGGTACAGTGTTGATTTCCGGTGTTTGTGTTTTCCTTCTTGGCACCTGCAGTGTCCTCGCTGACCAGACCACAGCCAAGTGATCTGGGAAGCACTCGCTGTACATGAAGCCTTGTCCCTTCATCACAAGATCCCTGCTCAAGAAAGATTTAACTTTGCAGCTTTGGTTACAACTAATTCTGAAAGCATTTTACAATGTTCACCATGTCCACATTTACAAAGCAATGACTTTCTTAAGTGATCAGACACAACTTTGGACACTTTACATGTAAAACATTTTGTGGAGAATCATATGGTAAATAGCACTGCTTTTAAATAATTTTTAGCTGCATAATCAAAATGTATGCAATATAAAAATTTTAAAATTGTATGAATGGTCCATTCTGTGAAAATAAGACATTAAAATCAATTGGATTAATATATTCTGAGCCTTCACTTTAAGCATATGGCATAAAACTTAGTTTTTAAAAATTCAATTATTATAATGTGCCCTCTAAAGATTGAAGAGAACACCATTTTTTAGTAACTTCTTGAGTAGTTATAAAAGGTTTTTAAAAAACAGAATATTGGAGAAAAATGTACACGGAAGGAAATAAAAATTAGCCCAAAATACTACCGTTTTGATAGAATGCTAATATTTAGCAGTGTTTTCTTATCACTTTTCTAATGTGACATTTTCAGAGTTGCCCTATTTACTTTCTGAAATAGTCACAGAATGTTTCAGGCCTGAGACCACCTCTCTAGGTGTGTGTTTATAATACTATACCTCTTACCTTATATTTGAAGAGCCTCACGGGGTTCAGACTGCTTTCCCTAGACTGTCCTTTGCACGAGCCCTGGGAGGGAGCTCTCTACACGGATAGGGCAGCGAGGCTATGGGAAGCGCAGTGAGGACCCGCTGTCTGGACACATGGCAGTGAACCTCGGCCCTTAAGCCTGCCTTCTTTCAGATTCTTTCCTCACAGTATAGCCAGCGTGTAACTCAATGAATAAAACAGAATTCCCACTTTCAAATTTGAAAATATGATATTCCTTGGAGGGAAATATGTAGTCATAAATATCACCAAGATTATTGTCAAAAAAGAAACACAAGATAATTTTTAATGAATCATTTATTGCAATGACAAGGAAAACTCTGGAGACAAACATGTCTGTTCACTAATACAATTCCTCCACTTGTTACTTAAGGCTAGTTCATCCGAAAGGACAAACACGTAATCAAGTTTTGAGCTTCTAGTTGTGGTTAGGGTCACCACATGGTTGATCTGATTAATTGTCTGACAACTTGTTGTTTCAAGTTTTCCTTAAAACAGAAATTACTGAAATGTGGAATGTAAGTCAATATAAGAAAATCATTTTAAAACACTAGATTTGTTTAAAAATCTTGCATATGGATATTAGGGAATATTATTTTAATGTGTATTTCTAAAACTCTCATTTTTAGGAATTAAAATTTTTGATGGTTAATGGTGTTGGCTTCCAAAATTCCTATTGATAAAATATTTTAATTAACTGTGTAATATCAATTATTGATATTAGCAACTACAAAATTATGCCAAAAAATCTTGAAAATCTCAGTTAGTAATGTCAGGATTATGTCAGTTATAATTTCCTATAGCTAGTTATATCATAACATATTTATCAAGGTTTCAATATTGGTTTCTTTGGACCTTAAAAAATGTTAAATTTGGCAATGGTTTAAACTTATTTTTATTCTGGGCTCTCTTTTTTGAAAAAGGAATAATATACAATATAAATCACAGTGAATACATCAGATCACTAAGGGCCTTAATAGATGAGCACTTTATGTCTGTTCCTATTTATATTGCTTTGCATATTTTAGTTTAAGAATTCCTGCTATTCAAGCTTCTTTCTGGGAAAAGAACTATAAGAGTGTATACTTCATAAGGATCAATTGTGATATGCTGTAAGTACGGCCTTCTTCCCTACTTCACATCTATATGGCCAACAAGATCAACATTTAGCTAAAGACATAAGCTTCTATGTTGTTAGAAATCTGAAACTTAACTGCACAAGACTGGTCCCTATTATACTCTGTATCACTTATTTGGGCTAATTGATGACTAAATGGAACTGGCTATTTGTTGACAACATTTCATCCTTAGGGATTAGATTTACTGCAGGGTGATTGATCTGAATTAAAGCATCTACCAAAACAAATGTTCTAACCTAACAGATCAAACAAATTTGGTAAACTTTTAGATTAAATACATTGAAGTAACATTAAATTTAAAAGCACTGTGTTACACTGTTTAAAAGCAATGTGGTTTTAATGTTGCTTATTATATAATTCAGGAACTGAAAAGATGGAATAAAATTTAAAACAGTATTAAAATTATGTCTGTGGGCTAGCATTCCTTGTTGGAAATATTAAAATAAAAGAAACAGGAACATACGAAGATTTATACAATGATTTTCTAAAATTAGATAAATTTGAATAATTTCTATCAGTAATTACACTTTCAATATGCTCTGGTTAAAGTATTAGCAAATCTACTACAACCTAATACCTTGATCAATACTAAGACAGCATTCATACAACAATAAACAAATGGTGTGTTTTAGGTTTCTTAATTTATCCAAATCCAATTTCTATAGATGAGATTTCATTTAGCACAGCTTGCAGAAGCACATCTTTGCTATCCACGAATGATGCCTTGGCTCACCTAGAAAGAAAACAGATTATCTTGCATTGCATGATGAAATAAAGAAAAAAGAAAAAAGAAGGGAAGGAGGAAGAAAGGGATAGAGGAAGGGAGGAAGAGAGGGAAGTATGAAAGGAAAGAAGGAATCAGAAAAGAAATAAAAGAAGGAAGGAAGGTAAGGTAGATGGAAGGAAGGAAATTGCCTATAATTTCTGTTTTTCTATCCTGAACACTTATATTTATATTCAGGAACATATCCTGAAATAAAATATGTTAATAAAATATTATTGTCTTATAAACCAGGCCCCAGGTAAATATATTTTAATTGCACATATTATTAACATAGTCTGCTTTATATTACTGCCAGGAAAACCAAAAGTTTTCAACAAGATGAATTAGGTTTGAAATCAATGTATTTCTGTAAATTTCAAGAAGCTGAATTATTTTTAAAGGAGCTCACAACTGCAGTTTTAGGGTCAAATGTTTAAATGTTTGCTGAAATATCATTTCAACTATAGAATAAAAATTTTATTTCTCAGACAACTTGGATGATTATTATTGCAGTCTAAAAACTATCACTTGCTTTAAATTAATTTGATTATCAAACTAATTGGAGCATTGTGCCTTAGTTAACAACATCTAAACACATTTATATTAGTGATGTGACCATGCATAGTAACTCCCACTCCTACTGGCAAAACCTCAAAAGCCTGATTTGGTTTAGTTAAACCAATAGTCAATATTGTATTACATATACTATATATAATAATATATTAGCTTAGAACTTTACATCATTTAAAAGGTATTAGGTTGATGCTTAAATCTTTCCCTTTGGGTAAATTTTTTTAAAATATTGATATTGTTAAATACAAGTAGAAAGAGCCTGAATATTTTTACTACTGAAATTGTTCTTCCTACTTCTAGAACATTTTTTTAGCAATAACCACAAGAAGTGTGTTCTCGATGGCTATGATGGATGGGCTGCTCACACATTCCACATTTTTTCTGCTTCATGCATCATCATCAGCCATCTCCAACACTCCAGTCCTGAATCTGTCCTACTTTCTGTTACCTGATTTTTGCTGGTGATTCATGAGCCAGAATAGTAAAAGGAAAAAAAAATCCACCATAGCTTTCACAATGTCGTATCCTCTGGAAACTGTGAGAAATCTGGTTTTGTTCATCAGATTCATGCAAATGCAATATTGATTGACAATGATGTATATAGATCTACACACATAATGTGCTATATAAAAACCACTAAAATGTTCTATTAATGGCAGAATGCATACTGATTATAAATTACTTTAGAATGACGTGGAAATACTTATCTGAATGCTTTTGTTTTGTACTTTCAAGCTCTCTCATCACTACTGTTTTCAGCTGAAGCTATATTTATGTGTACTGTCCCTAGTGCACCGAGAAGTAAAATTCTTAATTTTCCAAGCCAATAAGGTGATAAAAGCTCAAGGTCTCTCATTAACACTTGGATAAAAACTGTAAATGTCGCACTAAGTTTTTTACCATCATGAGTGCAAAGATGAGGTGCAAGAACACTTTCTATTATATCCTAGAGAATGGGAATCAAGTTTTAATCACTGCACAAAACAGTTAACAGGAAGTTAACCAGCAAATGACTAAACTGAAATATTTTTGTGATAGCATTTGTCAGAGTCAGAAACAACCAGACCTTAAAGAACCAAAGAAAGAAAGCCTAATGGCCTTAAAAATCTCAAAAAAGGGAGTTGCCAAGTTCATGATGTTGTCTCAGTGCTTCTATTACTAGACATCAAAGTTATTCTCACAGATTTCGGGAATGTATAAACGTGAAGAAAGTAGAACGGAGTCTAAGCCAGAAACTTCAATCTAGGATTCACCTGTGAGACAAAACTCTTTGCTAATGAATTATTCCAAAGAGAAGGCACAGCTGAGGGAGACCCTAACCTATCAGACAAGACCTCCAGGTTCACTAGCAAGGTCAGAGTAACAAGAATGCTCAGGTCTAAAGTTGCTTTGCCAACCTTAATGGACTGCAGGCACTCACCTGGTTATACAGCTTGAACCAATAAAGAGATCACAATGGCATGATGAATAAGGTAGAATGCTCTGGAGACCAGGTGAACATCCACTGCTCCAGGCCTCTTAATTGTGACCTATATGCACACTCCAACCCAATTACAAATGGGTCATCCCATTCTATTCAGTGCCAGAGAGCAGTGATGTCAATGGAAAAATACCACAGATGAAGTTCAAAACACATTGTATTCAAATATAACCAATTCACCAAGTCAATCTTACTGTTTTATATAAATTCTAAAAATATGATTTGAATAATGACATTTTTAAAACATTTTATCAATGTTTAAAAAACTTCAACTTCACCTTTCAAAAAAGCCATTTTAGTTTTTCTGTGCTTTGGTACCCCTTTGCTCTCTGTATACGCAAATGAGTTGGTATCAGCCATGTGAAGTTAGAACTAAAGCAAAAGGATGTTTAGAGGATTTACCAAGAAAAAGACTTTTTGAAAAGAATAATATATGAGATGATATTCTTGACCTGTGCTTGAATGGGAAAATGATTTTTTTGTTTTCATTTTCTATATGCTATTTAAACAACTGGTCTGTTCATTAAAAATGATGTAATAAATATATATTAGTCATTTAGAATTGTAGAGACAAAACTATGTAAGGTCAATATCCATTAAAGTAGAAGGCTGCCTGCAGTCAACTTGGTAACTGGTGTTTTGCATGGGCACGGAAATGTTCGAAGGAATTATAAATAAGTGATAATATTCTAGGTGAAAATGGTAAGAATGATGCATTTATGATTTAAATTCACTTTCTTTTTTACAAGGAATAATAAATATATTAAAGCAGTTATAAGTTTAGATACAGAAGTACCTGCATTGGTTCAAAGACAGCTTTCCAAAGCTTATCATTTAAAAACCCCAAATTTTGTTTTTTTCTTCTAACAAAAGTGGTTAAACTTACTTTCCAGAGAAATACTCCTCTTATGTGGTAAACAGAGGTAACTAAGCCACCAAGTAATGTTTCTAGTTTTGCAGGCCTTTCATTTGAATGACTAGATATTTTGAAATTAGTTTTTAGACATTGAGAAGTAGACAGTCATATTTTCACCGTTCAACAAAGCCCTCCTAGGCTACCTATTTCAGGTATCTTCCTCTTTCATGTTCAGTTTTAAGAATTTTGCTTCTTAAATGCTCATACTTCAAAAAAATTCACTCTCTTATCAAAATCTTTCTTACTAAACAAGCACCTCTGTCAGAAGTGTCTTAATTTCTTATCACAGAATTTTATCCACACAAGGAGCAATAAATAATTCATGTCATTGCCTCTTTGTTGTGTGTCCCTGAACTGCACGGAGCTGGAAGGCTGACAGCTGTGTCAGGACAAGCACCAAAGATCTGACATGACAAGTGACTAACAAGTTTCTTTCAGTTCATAGCGAAAGAAGACAATGGCCCAAAGTGCAGGAAGAAATCCCGAAACAAAATAAAACTGCTTCTTTCTTTTTACCTAAGTGTCTGCGATGAGCTTGTTTCCGACCCACAAGCCCTGGTCATTTTATAGGCCTGCCCAGCCCCCTTTATTCCTTACGCTCGCTTGGCCATTTACGCCTGGCCACGGATCAATATGAGAAATTCTTGGAGAAATACGATGTCTCCATGACAACCAAGCCACAAATTCTCAGTGGAAGGCAGTGAGACCAGTAGTGAACTCTCCAGAGGTTTCTAGGCCTATAAGGCAAGACGTCTTAAAATGCAGAAATGGACAGAGGAAAAAGCCAGAGTAATTCATTCTTTATTACCAGTTTAATGATGTCCAACGTATAGAACAGTATTCACTTTTTAAGTTAAGATTCTTTATCTGTGCCTATATTTTCTAAATAATCTTTCTGTTCTGATAATCTTTCTGTTCATCCCCTCTTTTGTTTATAACAGTCAGATAGACTATATTATATTAGAATTGCACTACAATTCCACTCATATTGAGGGACAATAAAAATTTATTTGACTTTTGAAATGGTATAAAGTGGATCTATTCTTGCCCAAACAGTGAACACTTAGGTAAAAACGACCCACACATTTAACTGCCTGACAGAATGGTTGATAGAAAACTGATCATTAAGACAGTTTAAGAACCAAGTCAAAAGAAGGCAATTTAAGTCAAAACAAAAAGTAATTTTAAATTAATTTTATTTTAGAAATGTAATGCTACCACTACCCTCTCCCTTTTAGAGGGGGACTGATCTAACATTTGTCTTTTAGCTATAATGGCAGGGGATAGGTTTAATGTGCTGATTAAAAATTTCTGTCATTGCTAAAGTTGCCATTTCGCAGGTCGGCGGGAAAGCAGAGTGTGGTTGAAAGCAGACAGACGCAGCAGTCCATCTTTTAAGGAATCTTCGTGTAGTGGAGGGACTGAAATACAATGCCATTGCTGCTCGGCCTATTGGGGTTCCGAGATGACTTAGGGGACCTGACATAGATTGCAGGCTGCACCTTTCACTGAAAATTAAATCTCAGTAGCTCTCCTCGGGGAAGGATCAGGGGACTGTTTGCAGCTGCCCCCTGTCAGCAAAGGCTACAAGATTTGGAAATCTCTTAACTAAGCTGACAGGCCACAGAGAGGATGAATCAAAAATCTGATACATGGATGGGAGAGAGTAGAGAGTACACAGAAGCCAGAGAAAATAGGAAAGAAAAATGTTAACTCTTTCTTTCATGATAATAAGGTATCTTTTAGCACCTTACAGCTTTGCGGTGATCCAGGAATGTGCATTCAACTTTCACAAGATTTTTTTCTTTTAAATAGTTAGTTGTTAAGATTAGGCATGATTCAAAACACAACAAAAACGGAAACAAAAATCCAGCTTAAGTATTCCTGGCCATATTTTTCCAGTACATTTCTGTCTATTCTTTCTACAAAGAAAATACAAACATAAGTAACTGGGACCTTGAGTAAATTTTATCACGTGAGGAAGGGTTATTATTTTCTTTCTTTTTATTTTCCTAAACAGTTGACAACATCCATTAGTCCATTATTGTTTTGCTAAAATCCTCTCACCCCAGTTGAGTCCCATTTGTACTTAGAAAGGTAAATAGATTGTAAGGATGACAATTTGTGTCTCTTTTCTCTCTAACTCTCCATTTCCTATTGATCCCATTATTTGAAATATTTAAAATGTTGCCATTTCTTCAGTTTCCAATCTCTGCCTCTATTAACCAGGTTAGTCTAAAATTGATGATAATGAACTAATAGTGTCAGCTTCCCTTTTCAGTCATAAAGCCTTTGTACTTCCTCCAACTGAATTCTCGATGAAAGAGGAAAAGATAACAGCTCCACACCATGACCCCTGGAGGTGACCATTAATTTGACAGTGCAGCTGCTAAGAGAAAACAGCATTACAATGTCTGTCCTCTCTCGCCACCCCCTCCAAGGCCCCCAAAGCTGTGTCAAATTTATCATTTTATACTTGACTATGTTTAAATGGCTTTCACCTGGACTCTCAGAGTCTTTCACGACACATCTGTCAGGCATGTCCTCAGTGTCTTGGAAGTTTGCCGAGTTTGAGTTGCTGTCATGCTTGACCAGACTGGCTGAAGCTATTAAAGAAAGAGAGAGAGAGAGAGAGAGAGAGAGAGAAGAAAGAGTGATGAAAAAGTAGTAATAAACACCATTAAACATTTCTTTTCAGTTCCACAGCTATTTCCAGGGACACACGATGTAAACACAAACAATAAATTGAAATAAAATGTATCCTCTAAGTATGTATTGGCAGACATGTAATTAGTTGAAAAATCTATAGATGAGACTTTATCTTAGAAGAAAAATAAGTTCATGGCATCAGCTTAAAAGCTACAAAGTAACAAAGTGATCCTTTCGAAATAGAAACCGTATTTTTAATGCATAAATCTAAAACAATATAGTCAATTAACGGCAACAGGACACAGAGAAAAGAACATCAGGCTAGTCAATTAGAAAGACCAGCGCCACACTGGGGCAATGGTTCCTTGTGTCACACAAATCACAGCTGATGAACACTTTTCATGCATTTTGGTTCTCCATCAAATTTAAAAACTATGGTACCAACTACCTTTAAAAATCCCTATAAAGATAAATTTTAAAATATAGAATGCATACACTGCACATGATACTGAAGACGGTTGGTATTTTCAATGGTAGGTCTCTGTGATACTTGCCATGAGATGTTATTTTCTGAGTAGGAATTATAAACAGAAACAGAAGCTATCACAGGAATCTAAAATTTTCTTTAAGCCCATTACAACCACTAGTTCTGTCAGAGAAAGCATAGACTCAACTTTCTACATTTTTCCACAAGTTGCAACACTTGGCCTAAATTATCTCCATATATAACATATTTCCATATAGCATTTGTTCCAGGAATCCTTGCACAGGAAAAGTGGACACTGTCTTCATAAAAAAAAACAAAACAAAAAACAGAACGGTGAATAATAAAACAAAGCAAGCCTGCAATAATATAAACTATGTCATACTTACTTGTCTGAAGCCAAATAAGCATGTATATTACTGACTGCACTGGAATTTTATCTTTCACAAATTGCTGCGGTTAACGCTACCACTGTCTCCTCGGGTCTTGATAACACACATGGCATATTATTTATAAGCCATAAATGCAATAAAAATATAAACATATTTAGAAGTCATACATGAAATAATATGTTTGTTGGCACAGGGGAATGGCCTGTGACACTGTTCCTGAACCTTCATTAGGAGATGGGAGAGCAAGCAGGGAGGCTGAAGGCTGTGTTCTTTCACACTTTCTGTAGGTGCCACAAGGGAGCTGCCCAGGTCCAAAGCAACCTCAGTGGGGCTCACAACTCCCACACCCCTCATCTTGTTTTCGTGGAGGGTGCATAGCATTGTCGATGGTAACCTGAGGCTCACATGTGCATATTTTCAAGGAGACTAGTAACATACTTCTGGTCCAAATATTCTCTTCAGTTTCACCAACCTCAGAACAGACAGTACTCTTCTGTTCTGTGGAAAGGTGAGCATAGAGTTTGGATTCACTGCATCGCTAAACCCTTTTGTTTGGGAAAAAAATATGAGAAAAATATATGAAAGTCTGATTTTAAATAAAGAAACCTGACTGTGTTGGACATTGGAATTTTCTGGAAAAAAAAAAGTAAGTAGGTACTATGTCTGTTTTATTCACTTCTGTATGCCCTGAGCCATAGAAAATACAGTATTCTGGAAGGATCTGTGGAATGAATGAATGACGAAATGAGTGAAGCAAAGGTACCATGCTAGATGTCCTCCTGATCCAAGAGGATATGTGCTTTGAACTATTATCAATTGATCTGTTCAGTTTCTTGTTTAGGACCACATGAGATGAAGGATGCTTATTTGTAAAATGGTGGTGTGGGTTAGTCTGTGACCTGAAAGGAGAAACTAGACCTGTATGGCCTAAGTAGTTATTGGTATAATAAATTAATACTTAATTTAATTTTCCTCAATTTAGAGCATACTTACAGATTATTTTTTTAATCCAAAGATTTTTATGAATGTTTCAGGGAAAAAATTAAGTGCATCAAAATTGCAGAATATTGTAACATTGGTCAAGATTTCTTGGCCTGCTTTAGTAATTTTTATCTCTATATATCTTGTTAATTTCCTGAAATACTTATATTGGTGTTTAAAATAGGGAATCAATCACATAGTGAAATCTATTCCTAATAGCCAATAAGGTAGAATATGTGTTTATTTGGGCAAATACATCACACATCTCACAGATTGTTCTTTCATAATTTAAAATGTTTACCCATTCATTTATTCATTCCCCTAACAAGACTCTGTTCTGGACAGAGGGGTCTCAAAGAGGAAGAGAGCATGGTATTAGAACTAGAAAGAAATATCTACAACCACTTTTAGTGGCAATAAAGTGGCCCAAGATGAGCTGACACGCCTAGCCATTCGACAAAGCTAGAAAGTCAGGTGTCGTTTTTAGCCGCATGATCTCCAAGCCACATTAAACTCCAACGAGCGCCATGCAGCCATTTGTGTCTTTGCCACTGATGGGGAAGGGTGTGGTTTGTGGATACAGGAGAGTGGAGAGAACCATTCTTTAGATATTTTGTTTAATTACATTTTAGCTTTCAAATTTAAGATTGAACCAGAGTTGCCATTTTTACTGGGTAGTTTACGGAGTATCCAATATAATTTACTGCCAAAGAAATACCTGCATTCCGTCAGTTGGGACCAACAGGCATTGAAAAGGTTAATTACTGCCATTCTACCCTCTTTTTTTGTTTGATAGGTGAATCTTTGCAATTGTTCTTTTGGGTGTTTCCTGTGATGTTTTATCATTAATCTCTGGCATGATGTGTGACCAAGGTTTCTCTAATGAATCATTTCAAAAATGTTGAAATCAACAAATATTGATTTAGTGCTTATTGTGGGCTGAGCTTGTGCTAGACCATGTGAGGGGTAAAAAAGTGAAGGCACTTTTAATGTGCCCTCATACAACTTGTGATCTGGTTGAAATATAATTAAAAGTAAAGAGTAGGAGCATTAGAGAGAATATTTCAAGAGTGACATGGTTTTTAGGAATGCAGAGGTAATTCCCATGCAAGTAGGTAGTCCACAAGTAAAATTTGAATTAAGTCTTCTTGACAGGAAAAACAGCTAGCCCAAAGGAGCTCATTCAGGCAAAAAAAAAGAAGTTGTGAACCTGGTCAGACATGACCAAAGAAATACACTAGCCCAGTTCCACAAATGTATTTGTTAACAGAATGTTGCTGCCTATTTTTTGTATGTATTTTTAATGAATTTTCCTTACATGTCTCTTTGAGCTTTTTCTGAATTGCTGTTGTGGCTAATTCTTCTCACCTGTAAAAGTTAGTTATAGACAGATTTTTCCTAGCCCTAGATAGTCAATAATTTGATCTTTACTGATGGTGGGCCCATTTATCACAGTAAGTTGTCCTTTCACTATACATATTGACTTTTATTTATCAATACCAAAGTCCATTTGTAGCTCATCACTAAAGTTCTTGGATATTTTCAGTAGTTTTTGAAGATGCATTTTAGAGCTTGGCAGAGAGATACTTTTGATGTCAATATAGTGCAAATGGTTGCTGGGCTCATCCTTAACTTAAAATCAACTGTTTATTTCCTCTGTAATGGATTCTGAAATAGTCTGCATTTGAGGGGCGAGGGACAAAAAAGACAAACTCTTCTTGACAGTTCTACCACTGAAAGATGTAAGGCTCTTCCATTTACTCATCACACATCTCAAAATATTGACAACTGGAAGGCCAGTGTTCTAAATATCTTTGTAATATCTCTGGAAGCTATTCCAGAGATAGAGGGGGAAGTGCATGCACTTTGCATGGATGTGTTTGACTATAGCATGTGTTTAATGAATGTAATTCTTCTAGATCCTAAACCAATGAATGGTTCAGGTGTAGACAATATGAAATCAGTAGTTTTTAAACCACATTTAAGAATACCTAATGAGGAAACCCAGAAGATTGCATGACAAAGATTCGATAGAAGGATTTACTATTAATGAGATGACAGGGTGATCAGCGGTTACACCCCTTCACCTCTTCCTTGTCTCTATGTTGGTTTTGGTTAACCTCTAAAAATTTGCTCTGTCCTTTTCAAATCATTTGCAAACAGATGGCCTTAACTCTTAAATGTGGCTAGGCCTAGGCAGCAAATGCCCTCAAAAGATGATGGTTGCTGACAAAAATCTCCAACTCCTTCCACAAATAGCAACTTTGTCCTTTCAAATCAGGCCAATATGTAGTATATACAGAGCCCTTGTTAAAAATCCATATCATCTACAGTGTGAACCAAATCTGCAGTCCAAATAATGTTTTCAATACAATGACTTATATATGATTTAAAAATAGATTCCATCCATCATATGAATGGACCTTTTTGGAAGTATTGTAGATATTGATAGGAAAATCATTAATAAAAACACATAACAGTTTGAAATATTGGTCAATAGATTGGAATAAATCACTATAGTAGCAGATAAAATCAGACAAAAATCTTGATCACACCTTAAGAATAATATAGAGTTTGCAGAGGTCAGGAAAGACTAAAAGACTGCTCAGATTTGTGAAATATGCAATCAAAAAGAAGCCATAGTCCCAAGTTCAAATCTACTAGCTCAATGTGGTGGCCATATTGATTGATAATTCAGATCTCTTCTCAAACTGAAAGAATGATATGAAGTCAACTAAATATGAAGTCAACTAAAAAAAATAAATCTTTTCAGAGACAAGAAAAAAATATGTTAAACTCAAGTAGAAGTAAATATTAATGTATTCCTCACAGATCACGAAAGACTGCAATAGATTTTAAATTAGATGGAGGTACAATCAGTGAAAAGACTAAGTGATAACAACAAATTTGTAAACGAAGAGGATGTCATTTGAACAGACCCCAAATTCAGTTTACAAAATGGCTCTCTCTGGGCTGATGTCTTATCAGGAAAACATATTTAGCTAAAGAGCTGTGTACATATAACCCCTACTTAAAAAATACCTGCACAGAGATAAGCAATAGGACCCCTTGATTCTATTTGAATAGCAATAGCTACATC